ATTTGCTATAAGAAATCTGAATGTGCCTGTCGAGGGTTGCGCCTCTTATTATGACAAGTATCACGTGAACACGTGATTCGTGACAGTGTAATACGATCCACTTTAGACTAGCGGGGTATAGTATTAGTATCATAGTATTGTTATATTAGTAGTCTAGAGGTTAAAGAAGTAAAGGCTGGCGATAGTATTAGTCCTAGCGCACCTAAGGGGTGTATTACGTAGTAGGTTACGTAGGGCGCTCTACTTCCTTTGTAGTAGAGCTCTTTTAGATATTAGCCGAGGGACATACGCGCTAGTACTACATAAACTCGTGCTCCCTCCTATATAATTAAGTAAGCTTTTAACTTAATACAACCACTTCTTTCGCAATCACTTTGCTCCCTCCTTTACACTCCTAGAACTCGTTACAATTCTCGCTACAATCGACTAACTGTGAGGTAACTCATATCAATTTATTCCGAGGACTCGTGAAGTACTACAATCGGTCTGGCAATTGAGCTCCATTGCTTAATTGTTCACATTCATCCGAAACAGTTGTTCGAAACTGCCAATTTCATCCCTTACGCGAAATATCTGTTCAGTCATCGCTCATTCCCGGACCTTTACTCGAAGATCTCGGCACTTATCGGCTAACCCCACCAAGAGTAGATGCAACTCCTCCTCATCAGCAGCAATCTCATAACACCTCCCTTCCGTACGAGGATATGCAACACATTTCTCCTCCCTCGAATTCAATTGGTAGAATTTGTTATAACGTCCGATACTAACGACCCCAAACATCGCCTGCCCATCCAACCTTTCCTCTGTCCGTCTCTGTACCATAATTTGAGTAAGCTTCTCAACAGCCCATTCCCAGTCGTACTTCTCCTCTCGATCTTCGTCATGCAGGAAGATCCCTTTGGTAGCTTTGGTAGAGGGTTGATTCTCCTGGAGGCTCAAAAGCTCAATTGCGTGGTATGAAAACTGCGCACCATGTGTATGGACCAATACAATACAGAAATTCTCTTTTTTAGGAAAGTAATCAAATAAGAGCTTAAGCCAGAAAATTTTGACGCTGGATTCTTCGACTGGCTTTTCGACGATGTCTTTGTAGATATCTTTCATCACATCAAAGGTTAAGTACTTGGAGGCTGTTAGATAATGGTGTGGCGGGGGAGGGAGGGGCAATGTAAACACACGTATTTGGCGGCCATCTTCACAAAATTTGAGAGATACTTTAATGATTATCCAAGTTGAGAGAGTCAAGTAAAGAGAGGCCTAAAAACTTCACGTCTTTTACAAAAACTGGGGACGGTGTTGGCTGGTTTTTAGGCATCAGCCTAAGTTTACATACCTGTGCCTCATCCAATCAGATTACCGCTCGGCTTTTCTGCGGAAGAGATCCACCGGTTGGTTTTATACATCGCCAACAAGGTGAAACGACAAGTATGTTTTCATTTTTTCGATGTTAGAGTTTCTAGTGTCAATATTTTGAGGTGTGAGATAGGTGTCATTGTATTGCGAAGGGTTGAGATTCGCCATTATATATCATGTATTCATTGCTAATACTTCTCGAAGATTGAACAATTGGACCACGAGCTCTGTTACCAAAAACAAATGAAACTTGGTTAGGGTAGTTGCCTTAAAAGTACAATTACTAAAACTGTTAAAGAAGAATGATGTTCTAGCTAGAAAGAAATGGATTCGTCGTTGTTTACTAAGCCCTCCTTTCTCCTGTTGTATGGGGTCGGGAGGTGGATTTCCGGCATCTTTTGCCCTTCAAAATTGGGAGCTCTAACCCATCTCCAGAACCCACATAGTTTATACATATATGTCACTTTGGACTGGAATTTGTCACAGGCTTGCTAAACGCGGGGCCATTCACGTGACCTTGTCTTAAGAGATATAAAAGGGCCATTGAAGAGATAATGACTCACAATGATGTCCGTTACAGGAACACTGGAATATAATCAGTCCAACTGCATCGACTGGACACCGTGTGAATTTTCTTTATTGTGCTAAATGCGCGAGATCGATGACCCATTCCACTGGTCCACTCCACTATATATCTGGGCAGCACCTGGGGGGAAGAGGCGCTAAATTGCGAAGCCATATTTGCATCATGGCTACATGCATGTGTGATGGAGTCTCTTAAGGAGGCCTTTGAATCGACGGGTTACTTCATCATGGGAAAACCTTCAAATCTTGGCTGTCGTATTGGGCCTGAACCTTCAATGCTTGACCTGAGTTGAATATAGCTTACTCCAGAGAATGTTACTGAGGATGAAATATTTCTTTACAAACCTCCAGAAGTAGCCTGCTGGTGTAATCATTAACTTCCCATCGGAATTTGGTCCATTGCCAGACCGGTTACTCCTTGAGGTTCACAGAATGATGCTTAGATTAACTATTGTAACACGATAGTGCGCGAAGGTCATTTCCTTGCGTGTAGAATGGCGAAAGTTGCTCCGAACCAAGGAGAAACCAAAGTATCTAACAAGCCGGGAGACGAGCATGTCAGTGGATTCAATTGACGCAAACTACGTGGCTACGCGACTTACCAGATGGCGCCCGGACAAGGGCTTCAATACCTTTATCAAGAGAATGATCGAGGCTATCTACATAATGATGTCCTATTAGCACCCCGCAACAATAATTGTGTAGTGGGTTTTCAAAGCCCACCAACACATTAAATACTGTTCTACCATTTAACGCGAAACATTCGCATAATAAGCGAGTCAAAATGCAAGTTCCGATATCCTTCAGCAAATTTGCGACCGAAGCAATCACTTAAGGGCTGGAGATCAACGTCTTTCCTCTATTGATAGATTCGAATTATAACCGAAGATATCGTTTGGGATTGAGTAAGAAAATGGGCAAAGATATGACGAAATCAGAACCTAGAGTTCTTTTCACTCTCACACTCTCGGCTGGAAAGATATCCGGTGGCGAGAACACAAGGCGAACTGAGTCTAACACTTCTTATTTACGCACTTTGCAGTTTATATTCGATACGTCGTCGGCTTCACCGCTCTGCCCCTGCGTTAGGCACAATATGGGATTCGGTGGGTAGATTGGGTAGAATTGGGTTGGTCAGATTACATTCGGTGGGTACACTCTGCTCCATAAATAACTCAAGTCTGGTATTCAATCAGGTGCTTCGTCAGAATCACCCGCGGGCCAAATTATTCAAGGTAGGCGACCGAGTTACCGACGTCACTCGTTGTCATACAATAGAAAGACACTTCTGGTAGAAATCTCTGTAAAATCTCCATTCCATAACGGAACCAAGTGTAACTAGGCCTTACTTGGGGTGTAGTGTAAGTGATTCAATCCCTTTTATAGCTGCTTTTTGAGGCTGTGAATCCGACATCGGGAAGGGTTGCAAAGGGGCATATATCACGTGTATCCCCCACGAGGATCGACATTGCAGGGTAGTTTTTCAGGTGGGCCCAGACCGCTTTGGTGACTGTGCAACTGAGTTTGCATGTACAATGACTTCATCCCGTGCGGGCATCTACTCACCATCTGCCACATCATTTAACGAGGGGTTGTGAGGGTTATCAATACTCGGTAATAGCGACTTACGGAGGTATCGTCAAGCACCTAAATATGAATACCAATACCACTCTATAATCCTTTCCAACCTTCATTAGACATTCATTCTGAAGATCCGAGAGGTGAATCTTATCAGCACTGTTTATCCCCCACGAGTTCGGAGCTTAAGTACGCTGTGTCCCCCTTTCCCGCGCAAGGCGACTATAAATCTCACCATCGACGGGCCAGACCGCCTCCGAACGGTTTTCTCCGACAACCACCACACAAAACCTTTTTAGCACTTCAACGGAGCACTCGAGAAGAACACTTTCAGTACGCCAACCGAACTCACCAAACCATGGAGCCATTTGTTGCATTAGGCTTGAAGGCCAGCGATGCTCTGATCGACAAACACTTCCACAAAATACCCGACAAGTACATGCGTCCTCACACCTACCATCCAAGCAACCTGCCCAACCCGCTAAAGAAAAGTCGGAAGGGGTCTCGACGCCAACAACAGAATGAAAATCGAAGCCGATCGCCTTCTCCAGATTCTTACGATGACTTCGAATATGTGGACGGCACAGAAGAGCTGAGGGATATCCCAAAGCACTCTGGGTACGTATCACCAGATAACTCGAGGAGTCCAGTAGGAGACAACATGCCACAGCAATATAGTCGAAGACCTCCACAAACCCGACCAGAGTACATACCTCCTCCGCCTATTGGAGGCACCTATTCTCCATCGAATCAGTTCCCCCCTCCACCGAGAGGGGACCAATCCTCAGCTTCGCCTTTTCGATCATCCGATGACTTAAAAGTCCCACTTGATCCATTACAAGAGCCCTCAACTTCCACAAGACGAAGATCGGGCGAGAGGGCTAGAGAGCGTGGTCGGGACTATTATGATGACGATAGAAGAGGAAGAAGGTCGACAAACACAAGAAGGAGCAGCTCCCAAGAACCGACTCGGTACAGAGAGGGAGACTTGGTATCATATAACGACAGCAATGAAGATCTAGATACACGCTCAACATTGCCTCGGTCCGCTCGTAGACCAAAACATGCATCTCGACGCAGCAGTTCTCACCAGCCATCCCGAAATGGTGCACTTATCCCCTTTCCCGCTGATGGTGATGACCTTTCCACCCTCTCGAGCCCACGAAGACCGAAGACCAGTCCGGCAGAAAACGTATTGAAACCATACGATGAGATGGACGATATATATATTTCTCGCACTCGCAGACCTAAATATACATCCCAGAGAAGCTCTTCGCATAACCCGCCAAGATATCGAGATTCAGATCGCTATTATCCCCCTTCAGCATCCGACAAATATCGGAAACATCGTCGGGAGTCATCTTTATCTGCGATTCCACGCTATGATGGACGAGATAAAATTGAGAATGACCGAGGCGAAGGACAATTTTTTACAAAAAGTAAAGATGGCTTAGTCGGGGGTGCTCTGGGTGCTGTGATCGGCGGCTGGGCAGCCAAAAGAGTACAAAGAAGTGCGAGTGGGAGGGATGGTCGACGATCGAGGAGGAACAGCAGTGCGCAAGAGGATGACAAGGTTCTGACTCTTTTAGGCGCTGCTGTAGGTGGGTTGGCGGTCAATGCGGTTGTGGAGCATTTAGAGGAGAGCAAAGTCAAGAAGGAAAGGGCGCTTAGTCGGAGGAGGGATAGCAGAGTTTATGATTGGGACGATGGATTTTCATGATCTCTCATTCATGTTAGGGGCGGATTTGATACGTTGGCGACGACTATTTCAGTTGCGATTTACATTACTTCATCAGAATGATGAAGGTGGACGTGGAGGATCATGATTTATGATTGATGATTGATTCACGGTGAGATATGGGCATTTTTGTAAACATCACTTAAGCGAAGTACACGATAACTCTATGATTTTCTGGCACCAGTAGTGTTTCTCGTTTATTTTGGAAGCTACTGAATTAGACACTCGTATTTGATTTTAGTTGACTCTAGTAATTTGCACTCGCAGAGCATGATCTTTCAGAAGAGTAGCTCCAAATTTCTCATATAAAAGGTCACGTGCGAGGCAGTACGCGAAAGGACCTACTTAGGCAAGGAGTCTCAGGGAGCTAGAAGCTGTTCTAGCACGAGCACTCTTGGTACAGTACAAGTACTCTCGACTTCACTGTCTGGCACTAGTATATTCTATACAGAAGGCGCTAGTACTTCTCCGGACACTTCCAGCATTTCCATCTGGCCAGACAGCCTATATATTAGAGCCCCGCTGGCCCCTAGCTAGCTTCTCTCTCTATTGCTTATTCTATTCTTACTTTGTGCCCTCGTCTTCTGATGGATGTGGTGATGATTTCAGGATTGTTTTGACACTGGTATACCTGCCTTTATGAGGACTAAACCATCTCTAATGGACGCCGTGAAGCGGAGTAGATATAGAGAAAATTCTTTATACCCCCTTTGATTAATCTTTTAAGATGATCATTTTGATTTTCGGTTTTCTAAAATCCACGTAGTCGAGAACTAAACATCTTCCAACGTTGAGGAGTGACGAGTTCCCCGACCCTTTGTATGGTTTTAGGCACTTCTATGGTACGGTCTTAAAATACAGTAAGCGAGGTCTAACTTTACAACAGGGCATTATGATGAGGCCAAGGGTTGTTCATAGTCTGAAGTACAGGCTTTTGCAATCGGTCAAAGTTTCTTGTCTATTGTGCTCCGCGTCAAAGTGAAGTCAATGTCACGAGACATATTGGTATCCACTGAAAAGACGTTTCCCCTCTGATAAGGCGCTAGCGCCTAATCACTCGACTGATATGCGGCAAACAACCAAATCTATCGCCACTTCAAGTTCCTCGACCTCGACCTTGGTCCAACATTATCAGAATCCAAAATTCGCCTTTGTCAACTGACCACCATGCCGAACCTCGGTGCCATGCCCATCGAGATATCGAGTCTCATAAACTCTCAGCTCAGTCAGAAAGATATAAAACAGCTGCGCCTCGTATCCAGACAGGTGAATGACAGAGCAAAGTTGCGAATTACACGCGTCTTCATCTCACGTCATAGTGCCATTCTCAACAACACCTCGGAGACTATTCACGACAATGATTTTTCCAAGCAGATCGAAGAGATTGTCTGGGACAACACGCAGCATCAATACCCCAACAACATGGATGAATTCACGGGGTTGGCAGGTCGACGGCTAAATTCAGGAAACAAACAACTCATGCTCAGTTACCTGCGCGAAGCTCGAAAACTAGCCAAGTCGCAGAGGGAGATCCTAAAGAACGGTTTAGATCTCGAAATCCTTCAGCAAGCACTCAAGCTACCCAATCTGAAGCGGATCACTATCACGAGCCACATTTGGGCAAGCATCGCGGCGGGTGCACCATCTTATGATCTCCCGCTGTTCCGAAGACTATACGACGAATTTCTAATTGATCGACGCCCCTATGTCATCTACGATCGATTACTTTACGAACTGCACCGCGCCCAAGTAAAGTTGCAGGAGTTTGTGGTTGAAGTTACGCGAGAACGTGCATACATCCACGGACACCTTTTCTGGTATTTATGTCCTGCGACACATGCCATCAAAACGATTTGTATGAACTCGAACAACCTCACACGACTTGACCTCGCCCTAAACACCGCTGTAAACTGGGGCCATGACGTGTCATGTTTTGACTGTGGCCAATTGAAAGACCTGCTGTCCAAGTTGCCGTCCCTCGAACACCTCGGCCTCCATGCAAACATGTACACGGATTTCGGTAGGATGGACACTAACCCAGTCTCTCGACCTTTGTGGAATTCCATTGAAAGTATCTTCCCCAGCCCGGACGACATCAACTTCCCAGAGCTACGCCATCTGAAGCTCGCCAATCTATTCGTGAAAACATCCAGTCTTCTTGTTCTCCTTACGAGACTGCCTTCGCTTGAAACCGTCGACCTCGACCGACTCGAACTATGCAGAAACACAGGCCGCTTCCACGACCTTCTCCACGGTCTCAAACGTCGACTTGTCGATCACGAAGACGGAATATGGAAGGAGCCAAGAACTCGAGTCACAATTCAAAGTGGCTGGCGCTGTCATGGAATCGTAGAAGATGATATCACGGCTTTTTTCTACGAGGGTGCGGAATGTCCGTATGATCCAGGTTTTTACGGTCCAAAGAGCTTTTGGCGTATTGACAACGATTACTTGCCTGGCGAGAGAGTCAAATGCATAAGAGACGAAGACGATTGATAGGTCTGGTGTAAAGCATGACTGCCATCGGGTCTCAGCGTGGTGGCTATGATTGATGAATACCGTTCTTGTAAACGAGAGAGAGTCCGCAGACAGGACCACCTAGGGCATTATTTGTTTTTAGACAGACGTGTTACGGGTTGTATCTGAGAATGTTTCTCGGGACGGAGAAAATAGTGCAATCAATCTGTCACGGAAGGATGCTATGCTTAGATCCCTTTTATTCTTCTCAAAATTCCAGTTCCTCAAAAATGAACTGTACTACCAGATCTCGTGACAATTTGACAAAATTGTTTTCTAACTGTGAAGCACCTTCGCCAGCTGGCCCAGCTGTAAAAGCGAGTAGTCTGACCTAAATCTGGGTATCTGCAAACGTGTTTTCTATTCCCACCTCTAGGGCTTCTATTCAGAAGGGAAAACGACAACTAGAACTCGTCATTATAATATACTCTTACTCAACGGCTCCCATACTACTCTTCCCGTTGTTGCATGGCCAGTCCCCTAAGTACTCAACATTTTCAGCGTCTTTAGAAAAATGCCAAATCTGGATGAAACTCATAACTTGGCAGCTCTAAAAATCAGCAAGATTTGACCTTACCTACAAAGCCAGATTTTGTTATAAATTTTATATTAATTGGGAAGCCTCTAGACATTTAGCTAACAAAACAAAGGATGATGATACATGATACGTGATGCCTCGAGGCTAAAAATAAGCGAGGCGCCACTAAGGAATACCACTCGAACTCATTAGGGAAAGGGAGTTCAAAGACTGTGACAATCTCAATACTTAGAATTTGATAATCCCGCTCCTACAAATAATCTAGTAGCTCATATTGATCATAACAGTTTTCCGGTCGGTAAAAGCCAATAGTGCATCTCTACCACACTCTCGTCCCAGGCCACTCTCTTTGGTTCCACCAAAAGGAGTACCCAGCATCATCAGACTGACACAATTGACTCCCACCATACCACTGTCAAAAGCACTCGCCATTCGCAGTGCCCGGTTGATATCCTGCGTGAACACACCAGCCATCAACCCGAAACTTGTGTTGTTACTTCGCTCCACAATTTCTTCTTCCGTCTTGAACGAATTGAGAACAGCAACCGGACCAAAGATTTCTTCCTTGATTATTTCGGCGTCTGCGGCAACATTCTCAAAAACAGTCGGCTCGATAAAGAATCCCGAATCTCCAATCCTGGATCCACCCGTGAGAAGGGTCCCCTGCTTCTCACTTTGACCGCGAGCGATGAAACCAGAAACCCGATCAAATTGTGCTTTGTCAATGAGAGGACCCATCATGGTACCTTCCTTATCTGGATCACCAACAGTTTTTCCTTTTTCTTGCAGTGCGTTCTTGTAAGCAGCTACAAATTTGTCGTATATCCCTTCTTGGACGTAAACTCGAGAAGCGGCAAAGCACACCTGTCCAGTGTTGGCGGTTATGGCGTTTGCCAACCATTGGACGGCGTTTTCGAGGTTTGCGTCGTCGAAAACAACAGCGGGTGATTTTCCACCAAGCTCAAGTGTGACTCGCTTCAAATTGGACTTTGCAGCCATTTCCTGGATTCGTTTTCCTGTCAAGCAAGATCCAGTGAAGGATACTTTACGAATTTTCATATCTATACGATTTCAATGTCAGTATACCTGTGTTAATTGCAAGAGTAGAACGGATGGAATTTATGGAGTCCAAGGTGGAAATGTGAGTGTTCTAGTTCTGTTTTCGTACCAGGAAAGCTGTCTTATAGAAAATGGGTGCTTACGACTGGCGATTAACGCTCCAGTAGATCCATCCCCCGAGAGAACTTGAAATACTCCCGGTGGAAATCCAGCTTCAACGATCAATTTACCGAGAGCAAGTGACGAGAAGGGTGTCTTTTCAGACGGCTTAAGAATGAAGCAATTCCCAGTTGCAAGAGCTGGTGCAGCTTTGAGGCCGACAGTGCCAATTGGTCCGTTCCAAGGGACGATGCCTGCAGTAACACCGAGAGGCTCATTGCGAACAATCTTCAAGAAGCCATCTTCTTGTGGGAACGACTCGCCAGCGAACTTATCGATCCATCCTGCATTGTAAATGAATGCCTCGGCACACATGCTAGTCTCGAAAGCTCCAAAGGAGGCATATGGCGCTCCCAGATTCACACGGGTCAGTTCAGCGAGTGCCACTCCGTGTTTTTGGACCAAGGAGGCAAACTTGAGCATGGTATCTCGTCGAGCGTTGTTTGGGAGCTTCTTCCAAGCGGGCAGGGCCTTCTCAGCGGCTGCAACAGCGGCACCGACATCGTGCTCATCGGCAAGGTCGACATCGTCTGCGACGAGTGAACCATCTTTTGGGTTATAGAGGGAAAGCTTCTTGGGATTCTTCGATTTCACATACTGGGGATAATCGTCAGATTGGTCAATTGTACTTGCGAGAGAGCACTACCTCATTGTTAATGAAGAGATTCTTTGGAAGGTTTTCTTTGCTGTATTCCAGAGCCATTTTTGCAAATCCTTTGACAGTGATGACGAAAATATGAAGGTTAAAATGAGGGGTCAACTCATATACTTGTATCGTACATCGCGAAACGAGGTACGGAAATAACGGAAAGAAACAGTACTGTGCTACATGTGATGCGCCCTGTGTTTGGCATCTGCCATATACTTGGCTCCATACAGTACTACCTACTCGTAGTCCAAAGGAATGAAAGCTGTCTGATCAGCCAGCCAGCCAATGACATTATCGTACACTGCGTTGTAGGACTTGAGTAGATGCAGCGTCAACATTAGATTGACTCGGAACATTTGTAAGCCAAGCAGAATCTGAATAAGGTGAAGGAAAGAGCGGGGAAGGAAGACGGGGGAAAGCGTGGGCTGATTCGGATATTTTAGCGGCCGGGGCTATTACTCTGGCAGATCATCTCCATTATTCATCGCAGTCTGAATACGGAAATGTGTTCCACCTTCTCTTGCTTCTTATTTTTTGCTTGATTCCCTTCTCAGGTATTTCGATCTTTCGAGGAGTTTTGTGAGGAATACTTATGCAAGTGGAGCAGGTCAATCGACCAATATATCAGCTCCGCTTACAAAGACAGAATTGAGCCTTAATCCGTTTATGAAGTAACAGATTGATAAACTTTTGCTAGTATACAGCAAAGGCTCTTATTCTCGGTACCCGTCGCAATACTAAAATGTTTCTTGACCATTCAAAACTTGGCTTTCACATCCCCAAACTCCCTCGACAACTTAAAAACCATGACCTCTGCTCCTTCCAAACTCCCCATAACTCGTTTTGCCCAGTCAGTCTGCGGCGTCTTATCCAGCTCCGCCGTAGGCAAGCTCTCGACATCAAACTCATGTAACGCCAAATACAACTGTGGGCTCCTTGGTGTTTCTAAACTACTTGCACTAAGTGCTGTTTTCAACTTGTATCGACGAGTGCGAATATATCCTGGACATTCGGCCAAAGTTCCGTAGTGTTCCTCTTTATACCAGGCGTCGAAATCTGCATCGGTCCCTTTTGCAGGAGTGAGCCCGGCGGATATTATCATTTTTGCTGGGCCTTGGGTTTGATTTTAGTTATATGTTCCAGCAAATTTTCACACTCCAACTATCTAGAAATAAAATATTACATACCGCTCTTCGCACCCGGCTTCTCATATCCATGAATCCACTCATAGATCCTCGTATCAAACTCCGCGAGATCAAAACATGTTTCGCCACCAGGAAAGTACTTTTTGCTCCTCACCGGAATCTCGCTAAATCCCTTGGTTTCAAAAAAGCTGATATCTTCGAATGGATACAATGCCAAATACGGATGTGAATCTGCGGGATTGATATTGTTATAGCGACAAGCTGAAGATATTACTTTCGTACTGAGGACATCAGGGACATGTTCCTCATTGTACCATCCTTCAAACGAGGACTTTGTGAGAGAAGTCGAGGTGATGCGGGAGTTCACCCATAATAGTCCTTGGTTTGGCATATTTCAAGATCAATTGGGCAATAATGCGAGGCGTTTGTGTGTTGTCGTAGAAATGAGAGGAGTGTTCGAAGATGGGATTGATCTAAATTAAGTATCCACAATTTGGTGGGTGCATGACTAAACCCAGAACTGGGAAAGATACTATCGCAAAACCCAGATTGGGGAACTTCGAGCTTTCTGGATGAACTTTCGGTAGGCCGCTTTTGGCAGCCCAGCGGAAAATGATAAGCTGAGTAGTGAGCTTGGTGGATGGATGTGCGGGGTTGACGGGAGAGGTCTGCCGCACCCATCTTCCCCCTGTGAGATTGCTTGAGTACTGTACAGCATACTCTCTTCTATCCCTTGCGCCACCCTCGTCGTACACAATTGAAGGGATAAATGCGTCTTGGGGACAATTTGAGCCCAAGATATCGATACTGCTTTTCTCCTAAGCTGTAGGGGGCCTGACTCGCGGGTAACAAGGCGAGAGCAGGGAGAAAAAATGAAGCTATTCGCAACTTTAAAAGTACTTAGGATAATTAGGTAGACTGCGAGTAGCTAGGTAGTTACCTCCTATCTTCTCCTACGTGAGCCGGTATAATCAAAAATGCGATTTATTTATATAAGTTTCTTAATTAGTCCCCCTTCACTACCTTCTAACTCTGTACCTCAGTGGACCACGTATATTATATAAGATAGCTACTTACAGTTAATTCTTCTTTTAGTTCTTGATTTTAAGAGTACTACCTGTAACAGGAATCTGCTACCTTTGTTCAAGTAAAGTAAAAAGTTCTCTAGAAAGCAGCGTGTCAACAGGGGCAGGGGGCAAAGGAGTGAAGTCGTGCGAATAGGGTTACGTGCGTATCCCTGAAATCAGGGTATTTAGGTCGTATAATCGTATTTAAGTCGTATAATCGTGAAGAAACCGACACTGGAGGTTCTCGGCAACAGACATAGTTATCCTTGGCAAACTTTATTTCTCATGATCGTCACAAGGTTGATTGTAGTACTCGGTGCTCCGTAAGAACAGACAGATATAAGTACTCTTTTAGATATACTAGTACTAAGAGCCTAAGGATATGGGATATGTGGTGTGCGTTCTCGAGAGATATTAAGAACGATATTTTGGTCTGAGCAAATCATCCTTATAAGCGCGTCTTTTAGTGGGAGAATATTGTGCGCCAATATTATGTGGATACTGTCGAATGCCCTGACCAGGGCCCTACAATAGGCATATTTCGGGACAATATCCTTGGCTGTTCCTCAAGAATGGATTGATGACGATTTTTGTACTCGAGTAGAGTTGACAGCTTACTCGTAGACCTCGGATTTGGGCTCAATAAGGCATATTGTGGATACGTTGCATATGCAATTCGTCGAATATTGCGGCTCAAGATTCCAGGAAAACAAGCCCTAACAAAGGCTCTAGATAAGGCGAAATTCAAGTTAAACCGAAGTACAATTACTATTTAAAAGTATAATTTAGGAATTCTCTAAATAGCCTTATTTTTATAGTACCGTAGTAAATCGAACTTAAGAAGGATGCTGGGTGTGTAGGTGGAGTACCGAGACGGCTTGTCAGGCCACTTGGAAAACAGATTTCTACGGGTCCTTCACTCATCGCAATCTTCTACGCATTAGAAGAAGAGCTTCTAGTGAGTAGGAGCCTCTAGTTCAAACTGTTCCGTACTCCACCCGCACACCCCAGCATCCTTCTTAAGTTCGGTTTACTACGGTATTGAGAAATTTCGGGGAGTGTTCAAGTAGATACCACATTCCACCGTACTACGGAGTTATCATATAATTATATTCCACCGAGTCTCGGACAATTGGTCAGCAGTAGAATCTTCCATTGTACTTAAGCTGGCATATTCTGCACTTCTCCCTTCTGTAATTGAATCAGAAGTTATATCTCAACACAAACTCTTTGGAATCACGAAAAATGTCAAAATCAGCACTCATATTCGGTGCCAGCGGTGTGACGGGATGGGCTTTGGTCAATGAGATATTGCACGATTACCCCAAAAAGGGAAATTGGTCAAAGGTTCATGCTCTCACGAATCGACCTTTGAGTCAAAGTGATTCCCTCTGGCCAAAAGATGACAGACTCAACATTGTTTCTGGAATCGACTTGTTGCAAGGCACTCAAGAAGCACTAGCAGCTAAGCTATCAGAGATTGAAGGGGTAGCAGATGTAACCCACGTTTATTACCTAGGTTGGTTTATCCAATAAGCCAATGCGAGATACCAGATGTTAACAAAAAACAGCGTACAAGGCTTCTGGAGACCATGATCGAGAGTACAAGGATGCTGAAGCTATGGTTCGTCGTTCGATAACCGCCATGGATCATATTTCCCCTAAACTTGAATTCGTGGTGCTGCAAACCGGATCAAAGTCATATGGCTGCCATCTTCTTGAGGCACGGCCTACAGACTACATATCTGTTCCTTTGAAAGAATCACATCCCCGCATCAAGTCACCGTACGCTGAGAAGCTCTTCTACTATGCCCAACTTGATTGGCTCGCCGAGTACGCGAAGGGAAAAACATGGAATTGGTGTGAGACCAGGCCCGATGTCATTATTGGGTTCGTTCCCAATCAAAACTTCTACTCCTTGGGAAGATCCCTCGCGGTGTTTCTGTCATTATACGCAGAGATTGAGGGAAAAGGGGCGATTTGCCCCTACCCTGGACGAAAGACCGCCTGGACTGCAAAATCACACGACAGCTCAAGCGACATGATCGCACGACAGTCAATACACCTTTCTCTTACTCTGCCGATTTCCCAGAAGGGTGAGGCTTTCAATGTTGCAAATGCCAAAGCACCTGAATCATGGGAAACCAAATGGCCAGAACTGTGCTCGTACTTTGGTCTTAAAGGCACAGGCCCACCTGATTCGGGCGAGCCCATTGAAGTGGAGTCGTACGTCCACAAGCATATCGCGGTCTGGGACGAAATGGAAAAGAAGTACAGTCTTAAAACTGGCATGGCAGTCCCAGACAAAACATTCAAAACATTCAGTGGGTTTGAGTACTTTTTACTTTCTTCATTCGATTTTGACAGGCAATTCGATATGACCAAGACGTATGGGACAGGTTTTGAGGAGGAAAGGAGCACCATTCAGACCTGGGGAGGAGTGTTTGATCGAATGAGGGCAGCAAAAATCATCCCGTCATAGATGAAGAAGGCCTTTTCGGATTTCTGAAGGCGACACAAAACCATGAGGTATTATCATAGACACAGTTGATTCAGAATGGTTGATGTTGACATTTCGACTAGCCCTGAAGTGAATTGGTCTCGTGTGGTGTGCCCCACTCGTGGCCTGGTTTCCTCAACACCATCTGGACTTAGTTCGTCATCAACATCTCACCACAGAAAGACGTGGGCGCCTCGTTGACGCATTCTACAAGGGGTTTAAATAATAAATGCTTGTATTACTGGCGACTGCGGATGCAGGTGGGAAAATTCCAAATTCTCAATATCTTGGTTGTGGCAAACAAATTGACATTCAATTGAACACTGCGTCTTTTTGCTTCATAGTTTCGTCATCTCCTCTCTCATATTGTCGCAGCTTGTTTGATGCGTTGGAACGGTTGCAATTTTAGCATAATTCCAGAGCTAGTGCGAAGATGGTTCATGTATTCCAGGTCATTGACATAGTCATAGATACGCTCTTTCCTGCTGGTGGGTTAGCATGATATATAACCGAATGTCACTCACTGCTTGAGCTTACAATCTGCTCCTCGTGTTACATCGCGTCAACGTTGCAAAAATGGCCTCTCTCGCTTTACTGACAATTGTACTTTCGCTTATTCGAATATCCATTTCAAAACCTACAGCTTCTAAATCCATCGAAACAAGTCAGGTTTATTGGCAACCCCAGCCTCCACTCAAATGGCAAATAATTTCCCACAGCGACATAGGGGACCCAGATCTTGCGGGGATCGATGTTTATGATGTGGATCTCTACTCCACCTCACATGAAGACGTGAATACCCTCAAGAAGAATGGAAAGAAGGTCATTTGTTATTTCTCTGCGGGGACTTGGGAAGACTGGCGACCGGATGCGGATCAATTCGACAAAGCTGAGTTCGGTAATGAAGTTGGAAAGGGAGACTTTACAGATGAAGGATTCTGGCCAGGGGAGTATTGGCTGAACATCAGGAGTCCAAGCGTTGTGGACCGCATGATCGCTCGACTTCAAGTTGCGAAAGATAAGGGTTGTGATGGAGTTGATCCAGACAACATTGATGGATTCAATGCAGATAGGTTGGCTCCGAGAGAGCATGGTCTTCATTCTCTTACCAGAGAGTATCGATATAAGGGACATTCTGGCAAGGATCGACCTTCCAATAAGAATCATACCACGCAAGGTGGTGTTGGAACACCGAATCCTGTGGCTGGAGCCTCTCCGACCCAGAATAATGGTGCCAACCCAACCCCTGTTGTGGGAAGAACTTCGACTACAAACAGCGGTTCCCAATCAACCTCTGCTATTGTTAGTACTTCCACTCAAGGCAGTGGTTCCCCATCGACCTCTGCTATTGGAAGCTCTTCCACCCAAGACCCCGAGCCAACCCAAGATCCTCAGGCAACCCAAGATCCCCAACCATTTGAAGACCCTCAACCAAATCAATCTTCTCGCGCCACTACCGGATTCTCCTTCACCCAAACCGACGCCATCGTTTTCTTAAGAGAACTCGCAGCCGAAGCTCACCAACGTGGCCTCTCCATCGGGGTAAAAAACTCCATACCAATCTTAGACCAAGTCTCCTCATTCATCGACTACGCGGTCAACGAACAGTGCGTGGCAAATGCGGAATGCGCCATGTATGAAGATTTCCTTGATTCCAACAAGCCGGTTTTTCATGTCGAATACGCGAGCACTGATGATCTCTCCAACGTTTCTGAAGACGAGATCCGGAATTCTTGCGCTTCGGAAGGAGTTTCCATGATATCGCCTATCATCAAAACTCATGCTCTCGACTCACAGTCGATATTTTGCGATTGAACCTAGGCGTCTTGAAGTGGTGTTTGTGTTCGGGTATCTCCTCCGCGCTCCGTGTTTCGTTCGCCAAGCTGTTTTTTCGTGTTTAGCGAGCCCCTGATTCAATCGGGTCTCTTTTTATATAGAGATACAGGAAGAATTTGAGGTTGGAATTTTAGGCTAAACGTGGTATTATCTATAAATAAGAGACTTTTGAGTTCATACAAGCTTTCCTTAACTAACGTAGAACTTATGTAACAAACATAATTATCCCTTCCAGACACTAGAGGAATCAAAACAACGTGCCCTTATGTTGGTGTAAAAGTGTCCATTTCAATAACATTTCCCCAGTAGAGCAAAGTTGTTGGTCCCATTGGGTCGCATTCCCAAGCATTTACGCCCTAGTTGAGACTCAGTTATTGCATCCCACTTCGGGTGCACGTTGTCCTGGTTCTTCCGCTACCCGGAAGGTATTTATTTTGATAGGTTTTGCTAGAAACCACTTTAAGCCCATCTTTAGGCCAGACATATCTTTCATGGACCAAGGGGCGTGAAGGTGCAGGCTCTAGGTAGCCCGCAATAAAGCAGTCAATATGAATCTATCATGTGAATTAGAGTCCCGAGAATGACTTTCATTGCTTTCATATGGTACGACCCGCACAGCCACGCAGTAGCATCCTATACATTACCATTCCCAAAAGAGTTTCAAATATCAGAACGTTCAAAATCCACCTTCCAACCCCATCACCCTTCTTTCCTCCTCCCTCCACCTACGCCCCTCCCTAACAACCTCAACATCCTCACAAGCCCTCTCAGCACACCCCCTCACCCAGTCAAGCATCTCCAACCCCTTCCTAATCTCCGCACAACGCCTTGCCATAATCTCACCAATAGCCTGCTCAGTAACCCCCATACCCCTGAGCTCGTCATCCACCGTCGGTAAACCGACGTACATCTTCTCAATAATCGAATACGCTTCACCCAGCCGCTGCTGAGTATCCCACATCAGCATTTACACATCCTGCAAGATACCAGCGATCTTCTCGTCTTGTTTGGAGATAACCGCTTTTAAGTGCGAGATGCGGAGGCTGGTTATGTTGATCTCTTGGAGCTCGGCGAGTTTTTGGGCGATGGATGGGAGATTTGTTGCGAGTACGGAGGTGGCGGATTTGGGGACGGGTTGTTTGATGGTTTGGCCGTTAAAGAGGACGGAGGAGGGAATTTTAAAGGTTGTGGACATTTCGACGCGATGTGTGACTGATATGGGTTAGTTGGCTTGTTGATGGTAGGAGGAATGCACGTACTAGACTTTGATGAATTTTCGAACCAGAGGTCAGAAATCGAGTGGTTAAGAGAGGTAGTGGCCCTTACTTAACTCAACTCAAGTTCTAAGAATGGCTACTTAATTTAACTCACGAAGTAATCGAGTAGAGTACCTCATTCTCCGTAAGTTATTAATGTAGTCCGGGATAAGTCGGCCTAAGTCCCCGTAGTACGCCCGAGGGCCCCTGGGCTGTTGGTTCGCCTACTCGAACTTAGCTAAGCACCCCTACCCTGGAGCGAATATAATCTGAAAGTATAGAAATAGGCTCTCTTTATATTTCAGTTACGTTTTGAATAACTACTCAAGTACTACTAACCTTTCTTTTAAGGGGGGAGGAGATAGTAGGGGAGATAGTATTTAACTTATTGTTAACCTAAAGAAATGTTACGGAGTTGGAGGAATTGGGGGCAGATCACGTGTAGCAGCACGGCACGTGCGTGCTGCTGGCAGCCTGTATATAAGCTTCTGTTCCTCTGAAACTCTCTTCCTTCCTCACTTAGTTGTTCGCTCTATATAGCAGTTTCCGTTTGACTCCGTATTCATCACAGCAAGCAGTGGTTCACTCCACACGGTCACAAGAAACAGCCTACTTATACTAATCATTAAACGAAATTAACTCGAATACTACTATACTCGAGTAAAACCAATTAGTTGCATCGTTCAGTACTTCTAATCAATCGCCAGTTAGGACTTATATCAGTTTCGCCTTCTTTATTAGTAATCATGAACCAGCGAGGTTTCATCCAGTTCTATTTATTTTATTTTATTGCTATTTAACGTCAAGCGGAGTCTAGCTCGCGTGGGCTAGGTCCTAGAAGAGTCCCAATATGGGCAAATGATGCTAGGGGGGTGCCCTAGGCTACAGGGGGTGTAAAAGAAGAGACGCTAATTTACAAGAAACAGTTTAAAGAGAAGCCCCACTTTCGGGACAGCCCTTATCCTTAATTAGTTTTGAGAACCAGGGTACAACAAATGAAAT